TGGGGTGTAGCTTCTTTTGGTGTATTTCGTGGAATAAATTGGGAGATAAATAATTGACTGAATTTTGTTTTTGGTTTTTTTGCTCGCTTTTATGTTTCATAGCGTAGATGCGCACGAGTGGAAAAATTTGGCAGCGTTCCTAAGTTTTCGGATGTAGCCCGGCTCTGTCCGACTGAACGTAGAATGTTTGGGCCCGGCTCGACCACTTTGCGTTTGTTTGTCTTGCATCTGTAATGCTTTTGCTGGGTACTGATTCCCTGTGATGTATGCTTGAACGCAGTGTTTATGCGCACTTCAGTGTAGATTATTGGAGTGTTATTCGGTTCAGATAAAAGTTGCTTTGTCTTTTGTTTGCAGTTTAGTTTAGCCTTTACAGCAGAGTTGTAACCGGTGCGGCAGACTGGCGGCCGGGTCCAGTGTAAAGGTTTAGACCGGCCGATCTAGAAAAATTTTAAAACCGGCGGGTGATTGACCGGTTTTGAAATTCTTAGCATTTTTCTCGTCTTCACTAGAAAAATGAATTTTTCTACTCTCTTGTCTGTCTAGAAAATATTTGAAAACCGGCCGTTCTTTTGCCGTTTTTTAACCAGTCTAAACTGGCTTTGGGCCTGCCGGCTTGGTCCGTTCCGTTCTTTTGGTCCGGCCGGCCCGGTTCGTCCTCTTATTTTCGGACCGGTTACAACTCTGCTTTACAGTTGAAATCCTTTTAGTCTAACTCTGCTTTTTGTATAATACTGTTGTTAAAGAAATAACTTACTCTTCAAAGATTATGTTAAAACTGTCATACTCAGGAATTCATTACAGAAGCAACAATGCACAGGATTTCTCCTACTCTAGAAAAGGAATCATTTCAGCGAGACAGAGACTGATCTTCACAGATCTTCTTCTTCGAAAAGGACATATCATAGTATATGCAAGGATGAGAATAATCATCATTGATCCTTCAAAAAGATTCAAAAGACTCAAAAGATTCTTCAGAAAGATACATTATCATACATCCTAGTTCCAAAGGTACTCAGGGTATATCATATTCTACAAAATATGTAAGGATATATTACATTTTATTTAAAGAAAATGACATATCTACGATACATCCTAAAAAGAATATCCTTTTGTGCCATTTTTTTTGAAAATTTTTGACTAGTGTGCGTACGCGTTAAATTCGTCTTTTGTTTAACGTCTGCTAATGCGAGTTAGCAGAGTTAGCAAATTATTTCATGGGTTGTTGATCTACAAGTTTACAAGGAAAGACGTCACGAAGCACCAAAAGCAGAGAGGTGGGTATGAGTTTTTGAAAATTCAGATTAACCCAGGCACGAATGTATACCCGCTAAAGCGCACGGGTAACCGCGTGTGATTTGATTTTATACACGGTTCATGCGGATATCAGACCGGTTCTTGCCGGTGGAGCGCCGGTAAATCGGAGGTAAACAACTCATTCATCGATTTGTTTTGCGACACTATTAGTTATATAAGAACATAAGTTTTGTGCAGTTGACATATAATTTTGAGCTTTTATAATTTCTGTGAAGTCAAAATAGTGAATCAGAGAAAATGGTTCTCAGCAAATCAGTAACGCCCCCTTTTTAGAAAAGGCAGTGTGCACAGCAGGTCTCTCTCTATTTCGAGAGCTCAGACCCAAGAACGTTTTTCCCCGGTTTTGAGCGTTCTTATTCTCTTTAGCTTAAAGCAAGCCTTAGGAGAGAAAACTATCTACCGGCAGGCTAGGAGAAAAAATATGACCGGCGATAATTGCAGATACGTTTTAAAAGGGAGTGGATGAATCGCTCCCTTTCTAAAATAACCGCCGATCTAGACGAATATTTTTTTTTCCAACTTCTGGGAACCGCAGTATTATACAAAAAGTAAGCGCCTTCATCTGCGATAAATCGAAAACGAAGCGATTCTAGCCAATTTAGCACACACGTAAATCTCTGCGGTTTCCACCAAAATAAAACCGCCGTGAACCACTGCTATGGCCCAACGATGCAAAAACAATATCAAAAACACACCCGCGGTTTTATACGAGAGACCGGTTATTGTGTCGTAAACCGTCGATTATAATCGGTTTTTCTGCCTGAAAATGAACCGGTGTGACCCGTATTTTCTACCGGTTTTTCCTATGGATTTTCGTGTACGGAAAATATGTGAAATTTTTATTTTCTGCCAATCGACCTTCTAATGAGAGTAAGTGCTCTAAAATGAGAGTATGGTCGGAGTACTAGCAGATTTTAGACTCGGACTTGAGTTTTTGTATTTCGAGTCCGATCGATTCAACTTTCAACACAAATGAGCAGAGAAAAATGAAAAGCGAAATAATAACACCTTCTGTTTCACAAGAAATTGAAAATTTTGTTCAGGAAATAGACATGCAAAGTAATCTTATTTTCGACAAATCAAATATCTATCCAGGGCTCAGTAAATTATAAAAGAGAAATAAACCACACCCATCAAAGAAAGAATCTAAAAAATTACCGGACTCGAAATGGACTCGGGACTTGGACTCGGTCTTTAGTGTCAAGGACTCGGACTCGTCCATGCCTGGTTGATGCCTGATACGTAAGTCATAATTTTTATTTAAATCCGCTTGAATCTGCTGTCTCTAACCACTCATATTGAAAGCTGTGGTCTTCGTATCTGGTATAATTTCCATTTACGCAAAAGTAGCTTTGTTCACTTCTTTTCGGTATCACATAACGATCATATCGACAGTGGAGAATCAGAAAAACGTTTTTCGTACTAATTCATTAGTTTTGTAATCATGCAAGAGGTTTATTCTTTAATTAGGATACACTTGGCTTTAAAAAAACACATATATGATGTATATCTGCAGATGTGTATCTTCTTTGCGTATGATTCATCTGTTAGTAGGTGAATCTGTCCCAATATGCAGAAAGGCGAAAAAATGCACGGAAGTGATACTTTATAAAAAATTCGATAGAAACACTAAAAGAGTGCTTTTTTTCCGAAAGTTTTTGGTCTTTTACTTGAAAATCATGACAGAAAATTATTTTTTTACAATATCACCCCTGAAAGTCCCTAAATGGCTTTTTTGTTGGAAATGAACCTCCTTAGAGTGAATACTTCTGTCTTATAAAGACTTTTGACAAGTCTCGACTGGGCGATTTTTGCTATTCCTAAGAAACATTTTTCTCGAACGCCAAACTTCAGTAGTCTTCGAATGTTCAAAATCTTTTTTCCTTGCATGCCACAAGCGATTTTTTTGTAGGAATAGTGAGATATTTTGTTTCACAGCAGAGATACGGTCGATGACATATTGTAATTAAGGAATATTAAGAGAGAATCTTGATTTTCATCGACGTGATTACGTAACATGATGGTATAATAAAATAAAGACATTATTGCCAATGAAAAGCTCAAAATTTTCATGGATTAGGTTAGGATAGTGTCAGGGCTCGGTACTACACAGGATCGGATAGGCTAGGACTCAATAATTAGTCACTCTGCACATCTTTAGTTATTCTTTAGCTGTCTTTTTCTTTTTCGTTCATTTTTCTATTATGTGACATGCTGATATATATATATATAATAATCGACAAATACTTCTTGTGACAACATATAAGGAAAGTCAAACGAGTTTTAAAGAAATTAATCGACAAAAAAAGAAATTAGATATTCCAGATTGATAATAGCATTCTAAATAGCTAAGTAACAAATAAATATCGAGTTATGAATTATCTAAAGCATGGTGTTTTGCATGACTTTCCGCATCAGTGAATATATGTGTTGGTCTTACTCGTATGCATGTGACAATCTTCCTATCACAAACGTCATTATTTTTCCTTTCAAGTAGCTAGCTATTTTTATAGACTCTGTCATTCTTTATAAAATGGGTTCAAGTCAATCAGTTACAGGAACAACTGGACAATCTTCGTCATTTGATCAATGGGCATTTGGTACACATGAGAATGCGATAAAAATTGAAGATGTTAGTGAAAGTATTCAACAACTACCTACACAATATTTTGGAGGGAAAGATATTGATAATGATCAACAATTACATCAAATGCAACAAGAATTACTTGGTTTTGACGATGTTTTTCGACGACTGTTTCGTCGAAAAAAGAAAAATTCAAAAAAACAAAAACAAAAACAGACACAACAGAAAAATAATTATTTACAACCAACGTATGATGAGAATTATTATGATCCAACAACGGGTACGTCATATAATCCATATAGTGGCGAAGAACAAACGAAACTAGATGAAACACCATCAAGAAATCGTCTCATAAAGCCAATATACTTTCAAAAATCAAAACCAACTGACGTAAAATATACTCGATCAAATATTCCATCTGATAATACACAAGTATGGAAATGTGAACAATGTGGAGATAAAAATAATCAAGCCAATGAGCAATTATGTGCGAAATGTGTCACTGCTCTAATGGATAATGTTGATCAAACAACAAAGAGCAAACTGTAATTATTCAATTTGTTATTCTTATTCAATAGATGTTCAATTATAACATTGCATAAGTATTATTTTTGATAAAAATATCAATATTTTTTTTTATCGGTTGACTGGTGTCATATGTTTTTCTATTACCATGAAGAAATATATAAAATTTTCTTTGAAAACTTTTGGAATTTATGTATCTTTTAGTTAGCATCGAACTTGAAAACTAGTGAAACTCATGTCCTCAATCGGAATTTTTTTAGTTATTTGAATCGAATTTCAGAATTTTAAGTTTACACATATCCAATGTGCCTACATATTTCGTTCTTTTCTACAAAGTTTTGGTATTCAATGTTCGACTCGTATTTGACGATCATACACTTATACTCATATCAATATTCGAGACTTCGTACTCTCTAAAAAAAAAGGATACAGTCTGAGCCTTCATGGGTTCTGTCTTTTAGATGGATCCTTTTCATAGTTTGATCGAAGTATTATAGAACCTGCAAGGTTCCGTCAAAGTGACTGATCTATTTTGAGTGAAAATGGCTCCATATTTCAGAAAAAAGAGATCCGTCGATTTAAAATGGTTCAATGACGAATCATCTTGTTTTAATCGAATCATTACGTCGATGTGTTTTTTTTTGTCCACGCAGTACAAGCGAAAGTACTGCCAGGAAGATCAGTGCTGGGCGATTCAAGCTATTTCTGGAGTCGAGTCGAGTCCGAGTCATGTCGTAGCGATTTCGAGTCGAGTCAAGTCGAGTCACCAGTGTTTTCGAGTCGAGTCGAATCAATATTATTTTTCTATTTTTTTCCGATTACTATTTATTTTTATAGAGAACGTTAACTACAAATTTTCGGTATTCGTTATCTATTTTTTAATTTTACATATATATATACTCTAATTAATTATATGTTCTTCACATTTATTCTACTTTTGTCTGACGAAGGCGTCTTTGATGTTGAAACGTAACAATAAAATAGAATAAGAAAGAGTATTCAGAAATAACCCAAATTTATACAAGA